CCATGGCCAGCCCAGTGCATTAGCATTTAAATCTGGCCAGCCTGGTCCCCTCCCACTGGATCCGCCAGGGAGGGAGGCTCTGAGTCCTGCCTCCCTGCTCCGTCCCTCATAATGGCCGCACTGTATTCCCGCCTCGGTATGTGGCATTAGCCAGAGCAGGAGCGAGGGCGCCTAGCAACCCCAGGGGCTGAGGAAGACGTGGGAAGGAAGCGATTTTCATGTAATTATTCACTTCTACAAAAGCCGTTGTCAGGTACACACTGGAAACACAGCTGTTGTATTCTTCTCTTAACCTACTTTTAATCTTTTGAGACTCTTTCCCAATATAAAAGACCGAAAGAAAGAGCTTAATTCAGCCATTTTCTGCTGGGCCATATAAGTTATGTTTTTGCCTCATGGAAGTCTCCACTCACAAAAGTTGTGTTGTTTGTGTGTGCAAGTGTGTGCGGTTGGCTGTCGGAAAAGAAAACATTAGGGAACGAAAGGGCCGAACCTCGCGAGCCCCGGCCCTGGCCCGTCCCGGCCGCCAGACCCGGAGCCAGGCGCCGCCGGTGCGGTTGGGCCTGGCGGCTTCTCGCATCGCCTTGGCCGGCACTGGGCCTGCAAGCAGCCTGGGAGAAGGGAGGTGCCGGGCCCCGCCCCGCCCCAGTGCCCAGGCTCACAGTCAGGTGACTGCTTTCCTGGCGAGAGCCGCACCCGTGGGTGCTTCTCAGAAGCCTGGCAGACGCTAGGGGCATGGGCAGGGGGCAGACGCAGGACCTGGTTTCATAGCACGGCCGAGAGGGCATGGCCCCAGGGGAGCTGGGGAGGGGGTCCGCTGTGTCCCTCCCTCCTTGGGGGCTGGGAGGCGGGGCTCTGGGGAGCCAGTGACTTGCAGGGACAAGGGAAGCCGGGCTCCCCGCGGGTCTGCCCCCTCCAGCCCCTCCCCTTTCCAGGGAGCCCCAGCTGGGCTGGGCGAGGCACCTGGGCTCTGTCCCCCACTGGGCCGGGCTCCTGAGGCCGTTTGTGCCTACACCGCAGGGACTCCCCGCAGGGGCCAGTGTGGACTCTCCCTAGGGCTGGGTGGGCCAGTGACCCACTCTGGATGTTCATTGTGTCACCTGAGGAGACCGTGAAGGCACGGGCTTGGCCACGAGCCTGATGCCCGCAGCCTGCCCCAGACTTGTGGTGACCGCACGGCAAACACCCTCCTCCTTACAGAGGGGCCGGAACCGCCTCGTCAGCCCTCAGGCAGGACACTCCCGCTCCAGGGAGTGGCGAGCGTGTGCCCAGCTCAGACAACCACTGGTGCTGACCCTCTGCTCTGGCCAGTGGCCCTGCTTGGGCATCCGACAACTCGCTTTTAGGGGAGCTTCTTTCTACAGTCCACTGAGCTGCCTCAGATGCCAGTTAAAGCCAGCTTCTGCTCCCGATCCCCACCCCCCCGACCGGAGGCAGCAGCTACACTCTGCCCTCCCCGAGGGCCCCTGCACCCACGGCCCCCGGCCTTTCTCACGGGGCTCCCCTGCAGGCCCTGCCCGGCTGCTGCAGTGCTGTGGCTCCTCGGCCCGGGGCTGTGGTCCTGGCATGTGCATGTTGACTGGGGCCCGTGGACAGGCTTCTTTTCCCTCCAGAATTTTGAAGGTGGCCCTGCCGGGTGGGCCACTGTTAGCGGAGCCCTGGCTGGGCCGCAGAGCGCCTCCTCGCTGCCTGCAAGCGCTGGCGCCCTGCTGAAGCCACCCGCCGTGCTGTGGGGGCGGCTCGCTGGAGGCCTCTGCGGTCGGGTCAGGTGGAAAAGACAAGAAGCCTTCGCCCCAAACTTCTGAGACAGTGGGGGTGCAGGTAGAAACGGGAGGAGAGGGTGAGCACATTTCCACCCCCACAGCTCCCTTGAATCTGGGAGAAATGATGCCTTTGGGGGAGGGGGTGCAGGTCAGGGCACACGGGGAGCTTTGTCTCCGTGTGAGCTGGGGCCTCTGTTGCGGCAAATGTGGCTTCTGAGTCTGGGGGGGACAATTTGCCCTCGTCCAGCCAAGCTGCCTTGCTTTCCTGGCCAGCTCGGGTGAGGAGCTACTCCCTGCGGCCAGGCCTGAGGGGTTGCTTGGGAGGGTGGGTGTGCCCCTGACCCAATGCTTTCTGTACCTCCTGTGCCCCCAGGCTCAAGGCCAGCGCACCCCAAGGAGGTGAGCTTGCCCCAGAGCTGCAGGGCAGGACCCCCTCTCTGCTGGGGCCTCGCTCCCCTGTTCCCGCAGATCTGACCTCCAGCCTCTGAATGTGCATTGCCCCTGGCCGCACTGCCAGAGCGCCCCCCATTCATTGCTGCAGAGGACAGGGCGTGACCGGCTCCAGCTCCTGACCCAGCTTCCTCAGGGTTTATTCTGCAGACACTGTTTTCCCTTCAGCTTGTGTGGAGAATGAGGAAGCCCCTTCTCCGGAGCTGCCCCCTTCATGGCGCCCTGGGCCAGGCTGGTCAGTCGAGCTGCTCCCCCTTTCACTGAGGCGGTGGCCTGTCCCTGCGGGGCTGGGCTGGGCTGGCTTTTCTCTGGAACGTGGGGCGCAGTGCCTAGGGTCTGACCCTGGTGCTTGCTGACACGTCGTTTTGGCTAGTGTGGGCCTGTTTCCTCTTCTGTGGAACTGGAGGTGCTCACACCTGCCACGGGAGATGATCATGGAACCGAGCTCATGGGGGTGAGCATCTCGGGTACACAGGGACCTTTCAACACATATAACTTGAGCCCCCCCCCCAATTTCTTGGCCATCGCCAGGCTGGTAAGAGGGTTCATGGACGTTGTTGACCTGTTTTGCGGCCTCTCTTTCCCCATCTGGCCAAGTCACCCAATGGCCATCGCGATCCTGCGTGCTCTCGGGTGTTGGTGGAATTCCTCGTTGAGGAGAGAAGTGGCCTCTGGGCCCCGCCGTGGCATAAACAGTGCTATGCACTCGCCTGCCATTTATTTTCTCTGTCTGGTAAACAGAAAGAGTCCATTTCCCAGACTCCCCTGGTGCAGATTGGGGAACAGGAGACCTGGCTGTCTCGGGCCTTGAAGGCTTCCCAGGCAAGCCTCCAGTTGTCTCTTCTGCGGCCCCACTGCCTGGACAGAAGCTTGCGTGGACACAGCAAGGCTTGCCTGCCGGTCACTAGGTGGAAGAGAACCTCTGTGTGAGTCTGCGTTGGGCTTTGTGTGGGCAGGAAATGAGTTTCTGTTGCTAAGCCTCAGAGATTTGGACAGTGGTTACCCCATCCTGGCTGGCTGTGGTTATCTAAACAGATAGAGCCGCTGCTTGGCGCATCCATTATTTCCCTCCCCAGCTGGGGGAGCTGCTGACTGGAGCCCTGTTGCATTTTCGCAACCCCAGGCTGTGCCGAGACACGTAAGGCCCATGCCCGTCCGTGGGCTCTGACAGTGCAGCCCCTGTGAAAGTCCGGCACGCCTGTTCCAGAGCTAACACCGCCCCCCCACCCCACCCCTGAAGTCTAGTCTGCGGGGTTTCCCAGCTCTGCATGCCCAGCGAGCCTGGGTCTAAGCAGAGGAGTTAATAATCACAGGGCTCCCCGGTATGCTGGTTCTTCAGTAACTCGGGATCCACTGAGGACTTGGGCTTACAAAATCTGGATGGTGTCTTTTAAGAGCTAAGGCTGCTATTAGAACTGTTTCAACTTGAGGTGACTATAGTTTCACCCCTGTTAACTTAAGAAAAAAGGAATTGACTAGCCCCTGAAGTCGACGTGTTCAGGGTGAGCTCTGACTTCAGGCGTGGCGGGGCCCGGGGACTCAGGCCTCGCCACCAGAGTCAGTCTTTCTTTGCTGCCAGCTCTGCGCTCCTCAGTGTTGGCTGTCTGCCAGGCAGGCTCATGGCCAGTGATGTCCCACACTTACGAGCTAAGCCTCCAGGAGAGAGGCTGTGTCTCCTTTGCTGTGACCCCACCCAAGGGCCAGCACTTCACCGGAGCTCGCTCCTCCCTGACGATGAATATGGACTGGTGATGTACAGCACTGCTCTCCCAGGGCTCCTGCTAACAGGTTCTCGGGGCCTGGGCCACGCGGCCCCTGTGGAAGCTGCCGAGCATGAAGGCGGTTTCCCGGAGGGAAGTGGGTGTGTTTCAAGGAAAATATTCCTTGAAGGGGAGACGTGCATGTCTGACGGGCACTGGCAGCCACGGGCACTTTCGTGTGGGTGGGCTCAGCCAGCCAGTTGCTAGGAAAGCTCCCTGCAGGTGAGAGTGGTGGTGTGGGCGCCGGTTTGGGGCCTGCAGTGGAAAACTCCCTCTGGTGCTTAGAACTTGCAGGGAGTTTATTTACACAGCGGGGGCATCGCTCACCAGGGGGGCCAGTGGTGATGGAAGCGCCTGGAGCTCCTCTCGCCCATTCTGCCAGGGGACAGGAAGGGGGCAGGAGGGGACGTGGTGTGCGGGCGCCTTCTTCAAACCCCCAAAGCGAGAAGAGCTGGCCTCAGAACTGGGAACAGAAGAAGGGCGATTTCCTCTCATTTGAAAAAGTATTTTTTTTTTTAAGATTTATTTATTTGTGCATCCAGAACTGGGGTACAGGCCAGAGGCTCAGGGGAGGTGAGAGGCTTCACCAGAGGCAGAGTGGGGAGCAGAACAGGCAGATCGAGGAGGTACACTGCTGAGGGGAGCAGCGGGCGGGTCAGGAGAGGTCTGCCGCGCCATGTGGTCACCTCCGGGACAGGCGGGAATCGAACTCATGCTGAAGTGGCTTTAGATTCTCAGTGCAGCGCTCTAACCCGCTGCGCCACCAGGGAGGGCCTGAAAAAGTATTTTAATGGTCAGAACTCTCAAATAAACATTCTGGCAATTAGTGAAGACTTATGCATGACCCTCCAGAAAATTCTAGAATTAAAGACACTGAAGAGATGCAGCCCCGAGGAGGCTGTGGGCTTTGATGACCCCTCGGCAGTCTTTTTGGACAGTGGGACATGGGTGGGGGTTTCTGGGAACGGGGCCTCCCACCCACCCCCCACTGTCTGATCTCTGCCAAATGCCTTGTGCCTTCCCGCAGGTCTGGGTGGATGCCGGGACGCAGATCTTTTTCTCCTATGCCATCTGCCTGGGTTGTCTGACTGCTCTGGGGAGTTACAACAACTATAACAACAACTGCTACAGGTGAGCACAGCTAGGCCGGGCGGCTGCCCGCACACTCGCAGTGCCCACGCAGGTACCCCACCCCGGTGGGGCCGGGAGGAGACAGGCGGCTGTTTCTCAGTCTGTCCCCACCCTGCAGTCAAAGGTGTCCCCAGAGGAGCTGGGATGATTCAGCATGATCAAAGCATATTCCAGGCCGCAAAGCAAATCCACTCCTGACCTCAGGCTTCCATCCCACCCTGTAAGGCGAAGACCTGTTCCCAGGAGGGTAAGCGACTGGCCCAAGGTCACACAGCAAGCAAGAGCAAAGCCGGGATTTGAACCCCGGCCCTTTGGCCCCAGGCTCCTGCTCCCTGGCCTTCTGTTCAGAATGCTGCTTCCTGCCCTCCTCCTGTGCTGTGGGGTCCTGTCTTGTCCTTCAGCCCACAGTTGGCCACACCAGCACCAGGAGGGGCCGCAGCCTGGCCCGGGGTCTGTGTTATGAATGAGGCTGAGGGCAGGGGCTGGCCCAAGGCCACCAGCAGTCATGGTGGACGTGAAATTGCCACCTGGCCGCTGACCCCAGGCCAGCAGTCTTCTGCTGCGGCCCCCGTACCCCCATTCCGTGCCTGGCGACCGTAGGTAGGTGTTCAGGGTGTGCTTCATCCTCCGAGACCGAGAGCTCCTCATTCCAAGACGAGGGCTTGGCGTCACGGCGATGAAGCCGTTGCTGAGGAAGGACGGATTTTCCTGCAAAAGGTTCTAAGATTGAGTACTTGGGGGAGATAGTCAGGATAGACCCCATTCCTCGCCCCAGCTTACACCACAATAAGTGTCCAGGTCGACCAAAGAATGGAGTGTGCCCTAAAATAAAACCAGGAGTACACACTGATGTCACAGCAGGAAAAGATGGAGGAAACAAATGTCACAGCAAAGCTTTGACGTCAAGGAAGAAAGTGATAGGTTACCCCACATGGAAATCTTACACTTCTGGGATTTTTAGAAAGAGACATAGGAACTTTTGGAAGTGGCCGCCTCTGGAGAGTGGGACTGGGGAGTCAGAGGTGGAGAGAGAGGCTTCTCGCACGACTCCCCTAGAGTTTAGATGCTCATACTCCAGAGTAGCACTTCAGCCCTTTCCAGTCAGTACAGACGTGATCTGCATACTGCCCGACATTGTAGCTCCAGGTAAGCTGCTGTGAAGATGAACTGTACAGTTCAAGGGTGCGCTAACAACACACTGCGATTCTCCAAAGATGTGGAGCCGAACATGTACAGCAGGCCAGTCCATCAATGTGAAAGGCAATAGGGACAGCAACAGCAGACTCCTTAATAATGAGGTCACTTTCCTCAGCTGGCAAGTTCGCCGTGGTCTTGGCCCTGGTCACAGAATCCTGGTCTGGGACAGCAGTGTCTACACTCTCTCAGGCCAAACGATCACGCCGCTCGAGAGCTGGGTGGTCAGCTGGCATCAGGCATTTGCGCGGACTGTCCGTGACGGAGTCCCTCCCACCTTATCCCAGCTGCCTGGCAGGGAAATTGAGGTTCATGCTAGGGGCCCCCGGCTCTGGACTCCCGCCGAGGTTGCCCAGGCTCCCGTCCCATCCTGCTGTTGTGTCTTTCCCAAAGGCTCCTGTTAACCCACATGTGACGTGACTGTACTGCTAGTTTTCATGTGCAGGAGGTCTCCTGGGAGAGACACACAGAGTGGCCCGTTCACCTTGAGTTTGTGACTGGGGGAAACTGAGGCATGGAGGCCTTGGAATGGGCAGACCCAACCTGCTGAAAGGAAAACCACGGGGGAGCCCAGTGTGCCATCAGGCTGCGAGCCGTGCTGTTCCTGGGGGTTTGGGGCAGAGGGGTGATCGGAGGGCTTCAGGCTGGGTTGGGCCCAAGGTCCCAGCCCGCAGGGTGCTCCTGGGGGTGAAATGCAGCAGCCTCGACACAAAACGGTCACCGCAGGCAGGAAGTGAAAGGACAGGTGCAGGGAGAGCTCGGGGGCCCTCGGGCTTCTGTGTTCGCACAGTGGCCACTTCACCAGCCAGTGCCTGGCCACCGGCCATCCCCTCCAGCTGGACCGCCACCCCCTGAGGGCACAGATTGGGTCGTCTTCGCCACTGGTCCTTACGCCTAGTACAGAGCTGGCCGACGTGCCTGGGTGCCTCAAACTGTCATACAGCTGAGACTCAAGGCAAGGCTGGGCCCTCGCTCGTGTCCATGCTGCCAGTGTGGGGACGTGACTCTCTGGTTCCCGTGCCCCCGTTTCTGTCACCAGATGCCCAGTCCTTCCCAGCCATGGCTGGAGAGGACTTGGCCAGGGTATCTCCTCGTCAGGCTGTGTCTCCAGGCACTGGAACTTTCCACCCCACTGAGCTCATGGGTGAAATGTGCTGACCGCTGAGTGCCGGTGTCCCGTCTGCTTCCCTGTCCAGCAGGCGGGGCTTTGGCCATCAGCAGAAGAAAGCCAGTCCCCTGGGTGACATTGCAAGCTCTGAAGGCTTGAGTGATTTCCACTTCCCAACTGTTCACAAGCAGGTCCTGCTAGTGCGGAGGGAGTAAATTAATACCCTCCCTGCTCGCACCGTAACAGCTTCCGGAGGTCTTCAAAGCCCAGCTCTCCCGGCCAGCTTCAAAGCACTCTTACATAAGCCTTTCACCTCGCTGGTGGGGGTGGGGGGTTAGCAGCATGGGGTGCAGCACACCCAGCAGCAAATCCTCACTTCAGAACACAGACCACTGAGTCGTGTGCTTGGCGGTGCGGGCACCCCGGGGCTGGGCCGGCCGGGCGGCCCGAGGAACTCGCTGGGGACGGAGGGACCTCACAATCAGGGGCTTTTTCCCGACAGTTGCAGGGATGCCCAAAGGCAGTCGAGCACGGGTCGGGAGGTGGAAGTCCTCGTGCTCGCTGCGACTCCAGAGGCAGCGGGCACCGGGGCCTTATGACCAGGGCACGTGCCGCCGTCACTGTGGAGGCCTGAGCTGGCCTGGCTGTGGCTCTGCCCCCGAGCCTTGGGACTCAGTGGCACGGTGGCCAGGCAGCAGGTACAGATTGCGCCCACACAGCAGAGTCCAGAGAGTGCGGCCAGTGGTATTGCCGTTGTTTGATAAGTCAGCGGTGTGGTGCCTCAGCTTCAGGAGCAGATTCATCCCAGTCCGAGGCGCCGCCCTGCCCTTGCCTAGGCTGAACTGAATTTTCTTTCTTTTTTTTTTTTTTTTTAAATTTTTATTTATTTATTCATACAGAACTGGGGTACAGGCCAGAGATGCGGAGGGTGAGAGAATTCAGAGACAGAGTGAGGAACAGAACAGGCAGATCCACGAAGCACACTGCTGAGGGGAGCAGCAGGCGGGCCAGGAGAGGTCTGCCGTGCCCTGTGGTCACCCCGGGGCAGGCGGGGATCGAACTCATGCGGAAGTGGCTTAAGCTTCTTAGTGCAGTGCTTCAACCTGCTGCGCCACCAGGGAGGGCCTGAATTTTCTTTTGAGAAAAGAGAAACGCAGCTCACAGAAAAGATCCCCAGAGCCACCAGAACTGCCTAGGTCCGTGTGCCAGAGAGCCCGTTCCCGGAACCGCTGTGGGTCGCTCAGTGCCACGAGGCTGCCAGGGAGCCGACAAGAGGCTGAGGGTGGCCCTGCCTGCTCGGCTCGCTGGAGCCTGCTGGTGGGCGGGGAGGCACCTGCGATGTGCTCTCCACGGGGCATTCGGCTCCAGGGGCCGGCTCGCCAGGTCTCCATGTAGCAGCGTCCTGGGTGCAGGCTTCGGGGCCGGTAGGAAGCTCTTCTCATGGCAGATCACAGAAGGACTTGAGGGCAGATCTCACCCGCAAGCACATCTCAAACCTCTGTCTAGTCGGTCTCCGAGTATTTTCTCCCTTGTACGTTTCCGTACTCGCCAGCCTCCCGTCCTTCCCACACCCTCTCCCTGCTCGGGTCTGTCCTCCCTTCGCTTCTGGGCCTGCAGGGGAGCTGGGTGACCAGGCCTCAGCTCCTCAGGCACATGGGACTGCCCAAGCCCACCCTGGCCCAGGGTGGCCTGGGGCGCAGCCTAACCTTGCACCTGCCCTGCCCGCCCCAACCTGGGTGGTTGGGGCTCAGCCTGCCCCTTCACCTGCTCTGACCCAGCCCCCCCCCCCTCACAGGGACTGCATCATGCTCTGCTGCCTGAACAGCGGCACCAGCTTCGTGGCCGGATTTGCCATCTTCTCCGTCCTGGGCTTCATGGCATATGAGCAGGGGGTGCCCATAGCTGAGGTGGCAGAGTCAGGTAAGTTGCCGAAGGTGGGGAGGTGGTGAGAAAAGCGCTGTCTTCCCCCCCTGCTCACCCTTCTCCCGGTTCAGCCCTCTAGCGAGGGCCCTGCTGTCCACCCCAGGGGAGGGGTGATTCTGGGGGACCTCCTGGGAGGGAAGCCATGGTGCCTCCTCACTCAGAAGCCAAGCCTCCCCGCTGTGTCTCCCTTCCTCCACCTGCCCCGCCCCCACCACCCACTGCTCCCTGTGTGGCCGCCCGTTCCCCTCCCCCTTCCCTCCCCCCCCCACCCCCCCGCACCCTTTGTTCCGTGCACAAGGCTGCAGGGTGATTTTCTTCCCCAATTGCAAAGCTGAACACGTTCTTCTCTCGTGAAAAGCCGTTCTTGGCCCAGGCCCTGTGTTGCCGACTCCTGTGGCCTCCCTGGCTGGCCGGTGAGCGCACTGCCCGCTGCTGCTGTGGTCTGCCTTCCTTGCCTGTCCTGCTGTCCAGCCACAGGGCCTCTGCATGTGCTGCTCCTGCCGCCAGGGGGGCTGCTCTGTGTCCCTTTCCCTTGGTGCCAGGCCCAAGAGTGTGGCATTTCTCAGTGTAGGTAGATGTGTGTGCGTGAGCACGATGCAGGCAGGGTCACTGTGGCCCAGGGGTTGCGTGAAACGGCAGCTCGCACTCCCCCCGAGCTGCGTGGTGCTTGAGTTCTGATTGGCTGCACGTTAGCAGTCTGGTCTAGCTTTAGGTAAGTGTGAGCAGGTTTCTCCCCTGACGGCGTCTCTGGTGCGACAGCTTGTTGACAGCAGCTCAGAGAGCCCCTCTCGCCTCCCCGGAGCAGGCGGCTCCCAGAACGGCAGGGCCAGACAGCCTCTGCTCCTGGCCCACGCGTGGCAGCTTCTGCCCAGCGCAGACGGGGCCCCTGGGGGGGGGGTGGACACAGAGCAGCACCCCGCTGTCGAGGCCCTACAGAACAGCGCTTAGGGGCCAGCCTCCCCGGTGACGGACATGAGAGGTAGACTCGGTCCCTGCTGGGCCTGGGGTCCAGAGCTAGGCCAGAGGACCAGCACCCGCTCCGGGGGGACTGTGTCCCACGGCCCTCGGCCCTGCCCTCCCACGGGCAGGCCGCCCCCTCTTTACAGATGAGGAAGCTGAGGCTCGGCTTCCTCCAGCTCCCGCAGCCTGGAGCCAGACCGCTGGGGCTTCACTCAGGCCACTGAGGAGAAGCTCCCGTGCTCTCCATGGACAGCCCGGCGCTTCCTCCCTGAACCAGCAGCGGCCCTGTGAGGAGGGAGCGTGTGCTTCTCCGGGGAGCTTGGTCCTCCGAGAGCCGCCGCCGCCTCGGTGGGGTGAACACCCTGATTCCCACCTAAGTGTCGAGTGAGCCCTGCGCGAGGAGACAGGCAAGGAAAGGGCAACTACACATAGATTTGTTTGACTTTTATTTGAAATTGAAAGCATATTCATTGCAGAAAAACGTGAAAAGGGAAAAAAGTCTCCAGTCCCCAGCCGCAACACTTTGGAGCTCTGCCAGCCTCTGCCACGCGTCTGTGGCTGTGTGTGTGCCGGTGCGCGCCGGCTCGCGTGGCCTCGGCCCTCGGCAGGTTGTGCCTTTCCACTCAGCGCAGCGCAAGGAGCCTCCTGCCTGGGAACACAGAGGGGCTGGGGCTTGAGCGCGTGGCGTGGCCCTGCGCGGAGGGGGCACCCCTGCTGTCTCAGACGGGGGGGCAGGGGGCGTCGTGACATGCCTGGCGGCCGTGCTGGGGTCCCCGCCGGCCCGCCGTGGCTGTGCAGAGCACACCACCCCGCACGCCCGTCACACCCCTCAGAGCACAGCTCAAGGCCGCTCAGCCCGGTGCCGGCCACTCCTGGGGCACCACGCTGCGCTGCTGTGGGTGCCCAGCGGGTAGCTCTGGCCTCCAAGCCAAGTTGTGGTGTGGATCCAGCACGGCCCTTTTCCAGAGTCCCTGCCCTCAGGAGAACTGCAGGTTGCAAGTGTGGAGCCGCCTTGCCTCCTCCCAGGACCTGGACTCACTTGCTGAGGACTAGTTTGGTTTGGGGGAACTGGGCGCCACGCCGCTCAGTGGGCTGTCCCGGCCAGGAAGACGTGCCCACCGCTCACGGGCGCGGCCTGGGCCTCTCAGGGAGCCCAGGGACACGCTGCCCTCCCTGCCGCCCCAGGCTGCGGCTGATTTGTCCCAGTCGGGATGCCCTCTCTCAGGGAGTGTGTGAACAGCTCCAAACTCTGATACGCTTGATGATGCAGATTAAAGGGACAACATCCTTTAAAAAAATATACTCAAGAAGAGAGAAAAACTGAGGAGCTTTAGCTTTTAAGGAATTTGAATCAATTACCAGAAGCCTTTCAACCAAGAAAAATCCCTGCCCGATGGTTTCCCTGGTAAATTATTCCAGATGTTTAAGAAGAAAGAAAGGACGGACCTTGCATGGTCTTTTTCAAAATACGGGCGGTACAACTGAGTTTCTGGCCCAGTGGCCCCTGCAGGGCTACTCATATCTCCCCTCTTTCCCCAAAGAAGAGACAAAACCAGAAGGGAAGCACATGTTCCACGCCCCGCCCCCCTGTAGCAAGACAGAAAATGTCGCCGAAGAAAACTCAACAGAGCAGCTGCGGACAGCCTCACGCGCACTGTGGCCACACAGTTGGGGACTTCGTGGTGAGCCAGGGCCAGCGAGAGAAACTGGGGAGGCAGGGGGTCGCTGGACAGCTGTGTGGCGCAGCCTGCAGAGAAGCCAGGTCCTCTCTAAGTCAGAAAATACTGGGAAGGCCCAGACAGGTCTCTGAGCAGGGACCACGGAGGAGGAGGCGTCCGCAGGGTGTGTGCGTGGAGAGGGAGGCGGCGCGCAGTCAGGCACCGGGCCTAGGCCAGGCTTTTGTAGTTGTCGCTGCTGTGTGCCGGGATTGAGCAAAAAGAACTCCGATCTTTCACCCAGCAAGAATCCCCGATAAGGAACGTGGAGAAGCTAACGTAGACTGCATGGGCATTGGGGGCATCAGAACGGAATGCTGGTTTCAAGTTGTCTATAGATAGTTGTCTATGGATAGAGGGTGTGTGAGAGAGAGAGAGCATGTTGTGTGGTGCTGAGAAATAGGACGTGCTCGGAAGAGGGGAGCAGCGGGAGGCACAGGAATCAACCCCAGAGCTCCCAGGCGCCACGCCCGGAACGGTGGGCACGGCAGCATCGAAGCTGGTGGTTCTGGGGAGATGCCCACGGAAGAAGCTCAACACCCAGGGGTCCATACTGAGATAAGTAAAAATCGAATAGAAAAATATGGCTAAGGGACAGTACTTTCTTATAGAAGAATTCTAAGAAATACAGAGAAGACGGCCACCGTCTGGCGACTGGGCAGTGGGACCCGCAGTGGCTGCGGCAGTCGGTGGCTCAGAGTTTGGCTGGAAACAGGCTATTTTCATACGCTCAAGTACCCAAGCTGTTTCTCAGTCACAAAGGAGAAAGCCGTAACTACAGTGGCGTTTCTTGAGAGGGCAGTGAGGCAAGAGGAGCCAGGAAAAAGCGCTGCGATCAGAAAGGGAGAGTGAAGGGCTGCATTCATAAACACGACTAACCACGTGGACACTGTGAGAAACTTGCAGGGAGAAGTGGACGTGGTTAGCTCGCAGGGTAAGAGGCCAGTAACAGAAAGAGGTTGGATGTTCACTGCGCTAACGATACACAGTCGGAACACTCTAAAACTTGTGCTCCTCACAAGCTACACTTGAGGAAATGAAAAGGCGCATCACAGATGAAGACCTGTTCTCTAGTAAAGGATTTGCATCCCAGAAATCAAGAGAATTCCCACAAACCATAAAGAGGAGACGACCCAATAAAGATGGGTGAAGATTCGAGCAGGCACCCGGTCAACTTAAAAGACCGACGACATGGAGGTCGGAACAGACGGAGCCCCTGGAACGCTCAACTGTGGCCGGTGGGATGCAAAGCCACACGCCTACGTGGGAAACCAGGGAGGACTTCGCTGTCCTCAGGCCGTCCAGCTGCAGAGCTCGTGCCCTGCACGCTCTGTGCCGGACCAGCACGGCACGCGTCTCCCCTGACGTGATAGAGCTCGTCCTGCAGGGACACTGCAGCCTCTATGCGGGGCAGCCAGAAGATGTGAGGTGGACGTGGGAGGCCAGGGGAGGAGCCCACAGCTTGGGGTGCAGCATCGCCCCCGCCTGGACTCCTGATGACCTGTGTGGGGGTGCTGGTGCTGGGTCCTCGCCCCTCGAGACTCAGAGTCAGTCGCCCTGTAGGCCTGGGAGCCTCCATCTCAACAAGACCCTGCCCCCGCCTGTCCGAGCACAGTCATGTGGTCACTCCAGCCCCGGGCTGAGCCCCTGCCTCCTCGCCCCAGCACCCCTCTCTGCCTCAGCTCTCTCGGCTGCAGCCCTGCAGCACTGGCGCCCAGCCTGTGGGGTCGGGGGAGGGCGAATGGCGGGGCGGGAGGCAGCACAGACCCAGCTTGGATGGAGTGACGACTGAACGAGGAACCGAGCGCCCCCAGCGCCGTCTCTCTCTCTCTGCTCCCCTCCAGGCCCAGGGCTGGCCTTCATCGCGTACCCCAAGGCTGTCACCATGATGCCCCTGTCCCCCCTGTGGGCCACCTTGTTCTTCATGATGCTCATCTTCCTGGGCCTGGACAGCCAGGTAAGCTGCGGGGGCGGGGTTCCGGTGGAGGGCAGGGCGCCACACAGAGCTGGGGTGGCTCACGCTGTCAGGACCCGCCCAGTGTCCACCAGGCTCTCCCCACAGTCACCCCCAAGCACGTCTGCCCAGGTCCAGCCACGACTTTCCTGACCGTTTCTCTCACCTGCCATCCCCGCTCCCTGTCCAGGTTTCTAAAAAGTTGCTCAGTACTTCCGTGCTGCCAGGCTGTGCCCACCAGCCCTCCCAGCAGAGCAAAGAACTTCTCAGGGCAGGGGACCCTCCTGGCCTCCATGGCCTCCAGGACACATGTCCCTCTTCCAGCCAGCACTGAGGACACAAGATACAGAAAACCACTGGCGTCCATCTCCCATCTCTGTCTGGGGCCGCCACGATGTGCTGCAGATGTCCACCAGGGTCCTCTGCCCCGCCCCCAGTACCCCTGCGCCCCCCACCAGACTTCCTGTCTCTGTCCTCATCCCCACCTCCCCCCACAAAGGGTTGGGATCAGCACTATGTTTCCCATTTCCCTTTGCCTTTATCCACACACAGCTGTGGCTTCCCAGCCCAGCCCAGCCAGCTCCTTGGTTTCCAGAGAAGCCCGTCCATCCTCCAGCTGCCCCAGAGACCCCCTCGGTGCTGCCGCCCAGGCACTGGCTCACAGAACCCAGCAGGTCTTCCAGCCCAGGCCAGTGGCCGTGCTCAGCCGGGGCCTGTCGGCAAGCAGCTGCCTCACCCGTGACCTTGAACGAGTCACTACACAGCCAAGCCCATGGCCGGCGTCTCTGTCCACCTGCCAAGTCCAGCTCCTCCCCCTGAATGGTTTTTCAGGAACCACTAAGCAGAGCTCCTGACACGCCACTGTTTTTGCTGATAATCCTCCCTGGCGTTGTCCCTGGCAGCCAAGGCCGCAGGAGGGATGATGTCAGCCGTGCGTGAAGTGACACGCGGGCATCTTCCAGCGGGCAGTGGGAGGTGGGCGCAGGCTCTGCAAGGCCCTGGCTGGGCCAGCATGTGGGCCGAGACGCCGTGGGGCCTGGGCCCGGAGGTCTCCTCCAGGACAGGGGAGCCCCCACCCCATGCATTCCTTTGTCACAGTAGCCACGTGGTCTGGGGCCCCGCTTTTATCCCCATTTTACAGATGAAGAAGTTGAGGCTCAGGGATGTTGAGTGACTCACTGGACAGAGTCAGGTCCCTGCCTCGTGGCCCACGTGTTCTCGTGTCACTTAATTTCGATCCTGGGTTAATGCTCCCCGCCGAATCCCGCCTCCTCCTTTCCTGGGGACCCTGGAGGAGGGATGAGCACAGCCAGCCCCACTGGAGAGGCAGGCAGTCTGGAGGCTGGGGCCTGGGCCTCGGCGTCAGCCAGGGCAGCTGTGAGGCCCAGCCCGTGGCCCGCCCGTGTGCAGCTCTGGGCTGGTCTCCTCCCCGTCTCTGCTTCTGTTCCTTCGCCTGCGTAGCGAGGATGGGAATACCGTCCAGGAGCCAGAGAGAGCCAGAAAGGACTCCAGGGAAGGGAGTCCAGCCTAAGGTCCTCCTCGTGGTGACCAGCAAGCGTCCCCTCCTGCCGTCCTCTGGCAGCGTAGGGAGGTGGTCCACAGTGGCTCGAGCCCCGCCTCTGCCACCCAGTACCGCTGTGACTCAGACTAGTCATGGGCCCTCTCGCCTCTGTGTCTGCATTTACAGAGCAGGAATGGCTGTAGTACTCAAGCGTTCGGGGAAATTAATGTCCGTGGGTGGCTTCAGAGTGGCCCGTGACCCACCCTTGTGCTTGCCATTGCTCTTACTGGTTATTATTTACTTATCAAATATTTTCTGAGCTTCTCATCTGTGCCGCTAGAAGTAGGCAAGTGAAAATGGTGTGGTTCCAGCCGTCCTGGTCTCACCTTGTAGCATAGGCCCCGGGGTGAGGGGCCCTGGCCTGGGCTTAGAGGCAAAGCAGGGTTGTTTCTCTCTGAGGGGGAGAGATCAACAAGTGTCATGCAGGGAATCCGCCCGCCGTGCTGGGAGAACTTGGGGAACGATTGGTTTGCTGGGATATTTGGACTGGGTGTGGAGGGGTGACTAGGAGTGTGTTTGCCAGCCCCATCTCAGCAGGGCAAATACAAATGCCTACTGGCACGAGGTCTGCAGTCCACATCAGCATGGTCCGCCTAGGGCCCAGAGACTCACAGCGAAAAGCAGAGCTGGGTGTTGGCTTAGCCCAGAGTGCCCCCACTCAGCAGAGGGGGGCTGGTCCCCCACCGAAAGCAAAGGGCAGAGAAATCAACCCATTCCTGCAGAAGCAGCTAATCAAGTCTCGCGCACAGAGCCCGACTTCAGCCTGCCATCAGCGGGGACGCGGCTTGTGGGCGCGACAGACAGTCCTGTCTTGCCTCCCGTGGACCCAGGACAAGGCCCGGCCCAGAGGCACCGAACAGGCGGGTGGGAGGGGAAGGGTCACTGGCTTTAGAGTCAGACCTCAAGTCCTGGTGCTGTCACGTCCCGTCCGCGTGACCTCGGGCCGGTCACTTCCCTGCTCGGCGCCTCACTGGCCGCAGTCTGCTACCGCTCTCCGAGCCTCTGTGGGAATGAGTGAGGGCGGGTGCGGGCCCAGTGGGGTGGAACTCGGGCCGCCCCTGCTGCACGCCGGAGCCAGAGCAGCCAGGGCAGCTCACCCCGTCCCTCCCCCCAGTTTGTGTGCGTGGAGAGCCTCGTGACGGCCGTGGTCGACATGTACCCCAAGGTGTTCCGGAGAGGCTACCGGCGCGAGCTGCTCATCCTGGCCCTGTCGGTCGTCTCCTACTTTCTGGGCCTGGTGATGCTGACGGAGGTGAGTGGTGGGTGTTAGCACCGGGCAGGGTGGCTGACCTGGGCTTCGGGGGCCATCGGGCTGCCGCCACGCCCTGTTCGGAGCGGGGTGAGCCCGTGCCGGCCAGGCCGGGAGGCCAGGGTCTCGCCCGCGTGGAGGCAGCTCGGCAGGCCCTCAGCGAGGTCCGGCGCCGCACCTGCACGGCCGAGGGCCACAGCTGCCGGCCCACACGGGGCCTCTGGCTTCCCGGGGCGTTCTGAGCAGTGGGGCCCGGGCTCCCCCGGGGGACCCTCTGGGTAAAGGGTCCATGTCAGCTACAGACCCCTGCAGTGCTCTGAAGCGCAGAGCTGGCTTTTCCGGGGTATCTCAGGACTCGACGGCGGGAGCCCCGGCCCCCCCTGCTCCCCAGCCCGGCTGTGGGGCCCACCAGGCCCCCAGGGAGACTGCCTCGCAGCCATGGCGCCCTCCCCTGCTGCAGCGCTCCTGTCTGATAAATACTTTCTCGCGTGTCCTGGGAAGTTGAGATCAGGCCTCATTCTTCCTACACTCACAAGGTTAATTAATTTAGAAAGTGGGGTGAAATAAAAGGTTGCCTAGAGACGAGAAGAGGTTTTGTGCAAACCACGGAAGGGAATGAGGGAACTCAGAACCCATGGGAGCAGCAGAGTTGGCCTGGAGAACACGTGGGTGACGCCACCTGGTGGAACCTCCTCGTCCGTCTCTCAGCTCCTGTGCCGGCGCCTCCGGGAAGCCAGCCCCGCTTTCCTTCCCCCGACGTCTGGTTCCCAGCTCAGCCAACCTCCCACCTTTACGGGGACCCCTCTGTTCACCTGTCTTCCCTGGCAATCCCATGAAGACAGGAGCCAGGCTTGCTCAGCTCTGTGCCCCTGGCAGCAGCGTGGGGCCTGGCACAGGTGAGCAGTCAGCACGTGGCCACTGGGTCACTCCTGCTCTGGCCACCGTCACATTGAGGCTGGCAGTCGTCAGCATGTGAGCAAGGGGAGGCTGTGCGTTTCCAGTGCCCACCGTGGCCCCCCACGCAGGCGAGCAGGGCTGGTTAATTATAGAGGCCTTGTCGTGTACAAACTGGGGGGTTACCTGGTGTGTTAGAGATTCAGAGGGGAGCAGACAGTGGCCTGGCTTGGAGCAGGGGAGACGTCTCCAGACACCCCCCTGCACGGCCTCATGCCCACCCGGGCGCCGCCGGGGCCCTCAGGAGCCAGCTTGACTGCCTGAGGCTGTCCATCAGCCTCCGTGGAGAATGGTCTGTGAGCGATCACACCGGGGAAATTCAAATTGCCAAATGGGCCGTGTCCACCCACCTCGGCCTTCACAGTAATTGCTGGCAAGAGCTTCTCCCTCATTTATCCACATTTAAAACCTAGCTCTAGGGGAAAAATAGGCCATGCATTTCCTTTCTCTCCCCAAGGCAGTGCGGTGGGCGGGTCGGAGCCTGGGCTCTGCAGTCAGGCCCCCACGGCTCGGCCTCAGCCCACGCCCAGAAGGCTGCGTGACCTGGGTCCTGCTGCTCCGGGCCTCAGTGTCCCCATGTGTCAGTAGTCACCACTGTGAAGGGGCAGCCGGACGGAGACGGGGAAAGCAGCCTGGAGGCCAGAACGTGGAGAGCGCGTGCTCTCGTTTCATGTGCGATGCTCGGGAAGGAGAGCTTGGGTGTTCACACAGAGCCCTGCCCACGTCCGGTCACTCGGAGCCTCAGCCCTGCCCCGAGCCTCACAGACCTGAGCAGATGAAGCCCAGGGACGTGCCCTCTCTGTGTTTCTTAAAACATGAAGTGCTTGCCAACAGCTGAAAGGAATGATGGCTCGCGAAAAGTTGGGTTTCTGGCTTGTTCCAGAACATCAGCAGATCTAGCTACAGCCCAGCCTGTGTCCTCCAGCAACACTCAACAGGAGTCGAGGGGCCTGTGGCGTGCAGTTAGCCGCAGTCTCCACCATTCCCTGGTGTTACACACTGGCCCACCTTGCTCACTTGTGTCATCAGTCTGGCTCTCTGGGCTTTGAAATGTTGCCCCTGCGCTGGTTGAAGAAATGAACGAGGTGTGTGGTCTGCAGAATTAGTGGCTCTGGGGGCTGTGGGAGCCCCGACGGGAAACTGCCAAGTCAGGCCCCGTGGCAGACATACAGGAGGGTGCCCAGCCTCCCTCTGGGCCTCAGCCCCCATCCTCGCTGGCATTCAGATGCTGCCCCCACGGGCCTGCCCTCCCCTTTCCCGCTTCAATTGCCCACCTCGTGATGGTGCCCCCCAGAGCTCCTCTTTGCGCTAAAAAGATATTCTTCCCATGCCTGCAGAGCCTCCCACCCCTCCTAGAGAACCTTCTCGACCCACTTAGCTAACTGGGCCCCTCTTCCTGAGACTTGGCCTGAGCTCAGTCATCACTGAGGGGTACATGATGGAGCTGGCCTGCCCTCACAGAGCCACTCCCACCTGCTGCTAAGCCAAACGCAGGGACTCTGCCGTGGACAAGGTCAAGGCCTCGCCCAGTTTGTACTTACCGAAGAGTCAGGCCTGCTGCTGGGAGCTAGAAATACAAGGAGGACCCCGGGAGGCCGTCCCCGTGGGACCTCACGGCTGGCAGAGCTGCTGGCAGAGCGAGCTCCGCAAAAACAAAAGGCAACACTGAGTCCATAAAGCATGCCATGGAGGCCCAGGGGGAAACGAAGGCTATCAAGGAGGGCTTCTTGGAGGAAGTGACATTTGGGCTGTGCTGTGAAGGAACTTGCCAAGACGCAAGTGGCAGATGTGGACGGATCTGCACCTGGCACTCGGTGCAGGCGTGGGGCCGCCCCTGGGTCTGCTCAGGAGGGAGTAAGCTGAGGGGGCTCCCGGGAAGGGGATACAAGCCCTGACAGGCAGGGAGACGGAAGCCAAGGGGTGATTGCGGCACATGAGAAAGTTCTCCGTGAACGCTGGTCTGTGAGTTGGAGAGGGTGAGGCCGGTGATGGGACGCCGTGAGGCTGCCTCCCCGCCTCTGAGTCGCCTCCAGGGCTTGGGGAAGAGACACCACAACCGTGCAGACCCCGGTATCCCTTCTGAGGGGACACCCAGGTGCCAGGGCCTAAGGACACTAGGCGACGTCTAGCCAGTGAGAACGAGACAGAGGCCCTTCCTGCGACCGGCCGCCCGACCCTGCTCCCCTGTGTCTGTCTGTCTGTCCCCCCCTGCATCTGTCCTCCCGCCTGGCAGGGCGGCATGTACATCTTCCAGCTCTTCGACTCCTACGCCGCCAGCGGCATGTGCCTGCTCTTCGTGGCCATCTTCGAGTGCGTCTGCATCGGCTGGGTGTACGGTAAGTCCACCCGAGCCCACGTGCCAGCGGCACAGCCGTGCCTGTGCCAGGGCTCCATGGCGCTCTCCATCTGCGTCAGCCTCCGCCTCCCTCCCCCTAGAGACTCCTTGAGCCTTCCCACTTTGGGGGGGTCTATTGCTGCTTCCTGCCCCCACAGAGCTGGGGCGGGCTCCAGGCCCCGGCACAGCCACCTGCCAGTCTTCTGTCCCTGAGGCTTGAGAGTCCCACTTGCAGCATGGAATGGGTAGCACCCTGTCTCCACGGAGGTGCTCACGTAGCAAGGCAGCACCCCCTGTTGGCCCCCACCCCCCAAACCTGACGATGGTGATGGGGACTGTCATGCTCCATGGTAGCCAACCCCCCCCACCTGGCTCAGAATGGACACCCCTGCAGGCCACCTGCTCCCTGAGGGTCGGCTGGCCCCGCCCCTGCCTCCCCAAGGCACCACCTTCCTCTGAGAAGCACCTCACCCGTCCCTGAGTTTGGGGCTTCGTATGTCGGGCCAGAATCCCTCCTGCCGAGCAGCTGCAGCTTCACCCGGGCACCTCACGTCCCTGTTTAGGGGGGTCGCGTCACAGCTGGTCTCCACCTGGGGAAAGGCAGGATGCCCCCCCTCCCCAAACCTCAGTGTCCTGTAGAAAACTGCTCCTGGGCTGTGTCCGTCTGCTTCATTTTGAACAGGAAGCAACCGCTTCTATGATAACATCGAAGACATGATTGGCTACCGGCCACTGTCACTCATCAAATGGTGCTGGAAGGTCGTCACCCCCGGGATCTGTGCGGTAAGGACCCCGCCGGGAGCTACCTCCCGCCCGCCCACCCACCCACCCGCCTTTCCACACCAGAGCCCCAGCCCCGCTTAGGGCACAAGGAGGCAGGGTCCCCTGGGTGCCAGCCACCTGTGGCCCCGGCCACGTGGGGCAGTCCAGGCTGGAGGCGGCACCCAGCTCCGCCATCTGTTTGTGTGTGACCATGAGCAAGTCACCTTCCCAAGGTTCTGTTGTCACCAGCCCGGCAGCTGGGACCGGCTCATGGTGGCATGAGGCAACGTGTGGCCTTGTTAACGTGAGGGCAGCAAACTGAGGATCCAGGGGGCCCATGCTCTGCCCCGAAGGCCGGCTACAGAGAGGCCTGTGGAGGACATTTAATCTTGAGCCCCTCTGCCCTTCACCACTTCTTTGCCTCCGAGCATCTCCTCAGAGTTCTCAAAGGCATCTTGGAAGCCATTCCTGAGAAGCAGGAAGAATAAAATCCCGACAGGCGGGGGGGTGAGCATCCCCCGGCCCAGTGAGGCCCCCACTATGTGGGGTCCCTTCCCGCTGTGTCCCCATGGTGGGGCCTCTGCACAGAGGTCAGTGGCGGGCCCCTGGCCCCTCTGGCCTCCTTCTGCAGGCCTGGGCCCACGTGGTCACTCACGTGGTCACTCTGTGTCTCCACAGGGCATCTTCATCTTCTTCCTGGTCAAGTACAAGCCGCTCAAGTACAACAACATCTACACCTACCCCGCCTGGGGCTACGGCATCGGCTGGCTCATGGCCCTGTCCTCCATGGTCTGCATCCCTCTCTGGGTCTTCATCAAGGTGTGGAAGACAGAGGGGACGCTGCCCGAGGTGAGCTGGAGGGGCGGAGGGCCCGGCCTGCGTGGGCCGTGGAGGGGCAGCCAGGCCCTCTCTGGCCTCAGCTTCCTCACCTGGGTGTGACAGGACCTGCGAGTCTCTCAGGAGCCGTGGCCAGCTCCTCTGGCAGGTGTGAGCGTTCTGTGAGGCCAGGGGTGGAGCCAGTGTCTCTGAGCTCAGCCTCAGTCTCCTCGCCTGTAAAATGGGCTCCGCAGCCATGTTGACTGACGGAGGTTGCTGTGAAGGTTCAGTGAGTTTATTCAAGAAACACTAGATGGGGACCTGGAATTGAGACGGCGTTGGCCCCTACCGCTCCGTCCGTTCTGTTCACTAAGGACCCCGCTCCCAGAGCAAAGGAAGGGGGTTTGGGGGTCCGTGTTGTTGCTCTGCCCAGCTCTCTGCCCGCCATGGCTTCTCAAGTCCTCCGAGCAAACTGGCATCCCGGGCATCGTTCCTGCACTTAACAGATAGTGAAATGGAAGCTCAGAGCTACTGGGTCACACCTCAGGTCGCACGCCCCAGAGTCAGCAAGTCACATGTTTTAAAACTATGATTGTGGAGGAAACATTGGCCCACAGCGCCCCTGTGATTCAGGGCATTAAACGCGCACCTCGTTAGCTGCTGCCACACCCACCACGGAGCCCGGAGCCCCCAGTGCCCAGGCCCCTCCCTCTCTGGCGGCCTCAGCCGTGCAGCCAGCTCGCAAGGGTGTGTTTTCAGCTCGATTCTTGCTGTGGTTCAGACAAGTGACCTCAGGTGACCTTCTGTTAGCGTAAGGGGCTTGACGTGCTCCGACGTCTGCAGTGATGTGTGAACTGACCACCCGAGGTCACTCTGCAGTCGTGAGCCGTTTCCGGTGATGAGAACTCCCGGGGTCTGCTCTCAGTATCGTCAACTATGCGGTTTTTACTGCAGTCCTCATTGAACGAGACCTCCCAGAATACATTACCTCACCGCGGAAGCCTGTGTCTGTGAGCCCTTCGTCCATGTGGCTCACCCCCCACCCCACCCCGGCCGCCACCAGGATGCCCTGTGTCTGTGGCTTCCCTCAGTTGGGTTTTGCACTTGCTTCCTAAATGCCACGTGAGCGACCACACAGCATTTGTCTTTCTCTGACTCCTCCCGCCTCGCAGGGTGCCTGCAAGGCCCTCCATGTTGCTGCGGTGACAAGACCGCCTTCCTTTTTGTGGCTGAGTAATATTCCAGGGGCAGAGGAAGGTGGATCCATATCAATCTCATTTTCTTCCCCCATCAGTGGCACCTCGGGGACGCCACGCCTGACCCACGGGGGTGCAGATACCTTTTCGAGTTAGTGTTTTCATGTCTTCAGATAACAACCCAGAACTGTAGGATCCTGTGGCTCTATTGTTCATTTTTTTTTTTGCAGACATGCCATCTGTTTTCCATCTTGGGTACCAAATGTTTCTAAAACAGCTTCATTGAAGTATGTTTTATGTATCACAACTTGCACCTCTGTTGGCGTATGAGTAACTTCCCATGTCTGGCAAGCGCCCCACAGGCCAGTTTCCGGACACGCCCACCACCCCAGAGAACCCCGGTGCCCACATGGCGTCACCCCTCCTGCTGTGCCTTTGCGGGTTCCGGACCTTTCCCCTCCTCGGGCTCAGGGCGCGGTTGGTGGCAGCAGCGCCAGTTCCGCCATCTTACTCCCGCGACACCCCCTGTTTACTCTCCTTCCCACCTGCTGCTGGGTCAGCTGGTTGGAGCCAGTTTCTCGCTGGTTTAGCAAACTGTTTGCTGGGTGCCAGCCACTGCGGTGAGCAGTTTGCAAACACTGGAGCGTGTCGTTCTCAGGAAGGCTGTGGGCTGGAGGCTCCATGTCCCCGTTGCACAGGTGGGGGACCCGCAGCACAGAGGGGAGCAGCCTGTGGGTGTGGAGCAAGTGCCCCGGCGCCGAGCTCCTGTCCCGGGCACTCTGTGCCTCTTTCCTCTGCTGGACTGGACACCCCCCGGCAGGCCCCATCTCTGCCCTGGAACCCCCAGGGTCTCAGGTGGCCCCGGGCCGGGTGTGGGGGGAGGGGCCGGGGCCGAGACCAGCCTCTCAGACGGCCCTGTCCTCTTCTCCCACCATCTAGAAGCTCCGGAGGTTGACGATCCCCAGCGCCGATCTGAAGATGCGGGGCAAGCTGGGGGCAGGCCCACGGACGGTGATGGTCAATGACTGTGACGCCAAACTCAAGGGCGATGGGTCCATCGCCACCATCACAGAGAAGGAGACGCACTTCTGAGCCGGCGCCCTGGGACCGCTCCCCCCGCGTGTACAGGTCTCCCTGCAGCACCCACTTCATCTAACGGTAGACGCGCGCCGATTCGCACAGGGTTTATTAACAAGTTAATTTTACAGTGGCCGTGTCCACCCCGGTTAAAGTCACAGACCCTCCTCGCCCCCGCTCTCTGGAAGTAACACTACGAGAGATAATACTGTACAGCGACTAGCAGAACCTCCCTGTGCTCCCACGCTCTTAACCAGTGTTTCTAGGGGTTAGGAAGAACTGTACCATATGGCAAACTTTTATGTTCGGGCCGTGGCGCGGACGGGGCGGGAGCCAGGCCTGGCCTCCTCGTCAGCCTTTGAACGCACCATCCTCGC